CGGGCGCCCAGACCATCACCCTGGCGCCCGTGCAGTCCCTGCCCCAGCTGGCGCAGAGCCCCGCCGGCGCCGTGACGGTCAACGCCGCCCAGCTGTCCGGCCTGCAGACCATCAACCTCAACACCCTGAGCAGCGCCGGCCTGCAGATGCACCAGCTGCCCATCGCCATCGCCAACCCCGCAGGTGAGTGAGCTTTCTGCTCCAGCTGCGCAGCTTTCTGCTCCAGCTGCGCAGCCCGTCACGCAAATACACAGCCGTATCCCAATTCCAGTTTGTCTATGCAAATTTCTTTAAGGTAAAATCACCTGGTTTGGGACATCCAGTCCCTGCGACAGGCTTATAAGATGCACCCTGCAGGTTGTGAAAAGCCTGGGGTGTCTTAACGTGCTTTGCTGTTGAGTTTTGTTTTTTACACACCTGTGAATTAGAAGCTCAGTAGGAGGACGAGTTCCTTTGATCCAAAAAGGAGGAGGTGAAATGTGTGTTTGCAGGTGTTGCTCGTGTTTAAAGAGCCCTTAGGAGCCACGTGGACCAAACAGCCTTATCCTGATACGTGTACCGTGCAGATCAGACTGGAGAAGATGAAGGTCCTTTTCCTGGAAGGGAATAGAGGGATTGGTCGGCACAGTGGTTAGCTTTGCTACCCAGCAGCGCTGAGGCCCCGGGTTCAGATCCAGACCTGGGGTGCTGTTTGCAGCTCGTTTTTCCATGTGTTTCCTGTCACAGTCCACAGACATGCTGGTAGGGCAGTTGGCTTCTGGGAAGGTTGGCCCTGGTGTGGCTGGTCCCAAACACGTTCGGACAGGCACAGGTAGACCGTGCACAGCAAGAGCCCAGCGGATACCGGATCGTGGTTCCGTTGGCACGGTTTGAGTTTATCTGGAGTGCCAGCACATCCACACCTGCCGTATCCATTCCGACTCACAAGGGGAAATTGTGGAAGAGGAAAGGCCGCACAAAAATGTATATTTTAGTGCTTCATGAGTGAGAAAGCAAGTTAAGTGCTTGGGAGTGGAAGTGACCTGTTTATATTTTCTTCCAAAGGTGATTTTTTTGTGTTTTCATTTGTTATGTGATGTTTGGATGCTGTGACCTTTCAGAAACCTTTCAGTTTCATCCTGGCCGACCCTAGAGTGCGGATAATAAGAGCCTTGTAAGTTCCCCATAAATGTCTCGCTTTTACAGCAGCAACATTTGAGAGCGCAGCTCGGTGGCGCAGTGGTTAGTATTAACCACTGTTTCGCAGTGCTGGAGCTCAGGGTTCAGTTCTACACCTGGGGCACATCTGTGTGGGGTGTGTGTGTGTATTCTCCTTAATTTGGAGCACCTGGAGAGAACCCCGAAGTGTCCCCCTGTAGTCCAAAGACAGACTGGGGGGTTAATTAGCTTCTGGGAAAAGTGGCTCAGATGGGTGTGAGTTTGTGTTTGTGTCTGCCCTGTGATGGCTTGCGCTCGTTGCTTGCCGGGATGCACTCCAGTTCCCCCGCAGCCCTCAGGTTAGAAGAGGGGTGGAAGGATAGGTCATAAATGGAAAGAGCAGTCAGATGATGATGATGATGATGATAATAAACTTGATTTTATATAGCACCTTTAAAGGCGGCCTCTCACAAAAATGACGACAACAACAACAATAAAAAAAAAGATGTCTTTGTTAAAAAACAAAATGCATCTCCCTCGTACCTGAGCTCTGGAGCCCACCGCGATGCCCTTGGGGCGTGTGCTCTCCGGAGCCGATCCACTTCAAATTCCCCCGTCCGTGGCCAGCGCAGACCGGACCTTACTGTGTTTGTGCCCCCTGTGGGCTAACTGCCTGGATTCCCCACCTTGGAATATCGCAAGTGGGAAAAGGTTCAGTTTCCCTTTGGACCCTGTTGGATAAATTCCGGCGCTTGCTTGGGCACAGAGGTCGGGGAGCCGTGATGAGGAGTCTGGGTCTCTGGTCTTGCCCGGGATCCCCAGTTCTGCAGCGTTCGGAGCTTGGGAGTTTCCGGGTGGGATCCGATGTCAGGCCCTCGGCAGGCGTGTCGAGCAGCACAAAGTGATCGTCCCCATTTTCTGGATATTGTTTCCAGAGCTGGGGTGAAGCAGTTGCAGGGGGATAAAATAAGTTGACGAGAGAGAAAATATTGGCCCTGCAGGTGAAACACCCAGGTGTGACCGCTAGTACAGTAATCCCTGTCTATACGAGCGGCTTCTATACAAGTTACATGAGGCGTAGTAGTGTAGTAAACATAACGCGTATGTTGTTTCATTTAACGAGCAGATTTTCACTCTTATAAACTGGGCTCCAGTAGTGCTGAAAGTCTTCTTTTATTGTGTCGTCTTTTCTCTGAGGAGTTGACTTTTTATTTATTACGTTTGAACTTCTTAGAATAAAGGCTTGTGTGTGGTAAGTGTCTGCAATACGGGAGAGTACCCATTATTTATGGGTTTATGACGACTGCAATTATGTAACTGCTCAACTGAACCATAAATGAGCCGAACTGTTATTAATTTCCTATCTCTTGTTTATGCATCAGCCAGTGACTTTAGGCGTGTTACTTGAGTAATGAGCCGGGACCGTTCTTGTTTTCATACTTAGGTGCCATTCTCTACTGTATTAAGGTGGGATTTGGGTATTTTTGACTTTAGGAATCACTTGGAGGTTCTAACACTGGAATTAAATTTCCTTTATACAAGTTTTTTCACTGTAAAAGCTTTTTTTTTCGATAAACCTATTAAGAGACTGCTGTACTGATGTTCCCCTTCGTCGCCGTTGCCAGTGGAAGGGCCTGGTGCTCAGCCTCAGATCCCGCCCCCAGGAGAAGTGCAGGCGTGGGCTGGGAGGCAGGGGTTCCTTCTCCAGGTCTCTCATCCTGCCCTTGCAGCTGCCTGTGGATGCAGGTTGTTTTACCAGGGCCCCTGTACGTAAAGACGACTCCTTTCTCCAGCCCCGCCAGCCATGACGCTTCATTAGAGCTCCGATTTTCCACATCTGGGAATTTGAAGTTTGTCTCATTTCGGTTGATTGCCGGCCTCGGAGCGGAGATCGGTTCTTTGGAGAGCTAAGTGAGCTCCTTGTAAACCCCGAAGCTCGCTTCATCCGGCGTTCATCACTGGCATTGACGCCGCGCGAGGACGGTTTCCTTGCCGGTACATCGCCTAGCAAAGCCGGGGCGGGCTAAAAGCATCAGGACGGTTCATTTGCAGCGCTGGCCTTCTGCGGTTTCCCTGTTGACTGGTTCTTTGCGTTGGTCATGCGTCCCTTGTTTGGTTTTCCACACGTCCTTGTCTTGTGTTGTCCTTCGCCGTATGAGCTGTCTTGCCTGTTCCTGAAAACTGGATTGCTGTGGGAAATGTTTAGTTTTTCTGTACAGTCAGTATGTTTGAAGGCAGGCCCCCCTCCGTCAGTCCCAGTTTAAAAAATCCCACCGTTCAGGATTTTGCCAGTACAGCTCTAACGGTCTTGGAAGTGTTTCTAAGGCCGTCAGCCGTGTTTTGAGCTGGGACTCTCCTCCTCTCCTCTTTATTCATCTTGCTGGGTTCCCCTTCAGAAATGTCGTGGGCACTTTGCTTACTTCGCCTAACAAATGGGACCACCGACAACCCCTCTGCTGAAGTGGGTGTGCTGTAGGCAGACTTCGTGGCGTGTCTGAAACGGGACACATTGCTGAATCTCCCCGAGTGCAGTTCTTTTGCCTTTATTTATTTGTTTTTTTCCTGATTGCTTTCGGAGGGGTCGCCCTGTCTTGATCTCCACCCCCACCCCCCAACTGCAGCCTCTCCCTCTCCCAGCCCGTCCTCCAGGTTTCTCAGACGCCCGCTGGTGCTCTGGTCGTTGTCATGGCGAGAAGTGTGGCTCGTAAGCACAGGGCTTTGGGGGACGTGGTAGCGGTCGGTCCTGTAGTGAAGTGAGTCTCAGGAGGGAGATCCCCAGTGCCCGTGTCAGCTGAAAGCGTTACATTTTTTTTTTTTATGTGCGCCGCAAAGGGCAGATGAGAAAAGTGGCTTCGTGTGCCGGCGCTGGAGTTGTCTCGGTCCTGCCCGGGCAGTCGCTGCCGTGCCAGGTTCCCCGGTCGCAAGCAGCGCACGTTTCCTTGTTGTTTTCTGGCCCCGGCCTGACACACAGGTTTTGCAGGTTCAGAGCGGAGGGCTGGATTGAAGAGATCGGGCCGGCAGGCAGTGTTTGACAGCGGAGGGGTGTAACCCGACACCGCCCAGCCCGGGCTGGGGCTTATCTCTAGCCTGCCTGCTCTTCCCCTCTCGGAGACTGTTGGCGGGGTGTCTGTGCGTGGCAGCGTGCTGGCGCTGGTGAGTGCTGTTGACAGGGCTGCGCGCTTTCGCTTGCTGCTCGTCAGTCCCGAGGGGTTTGCTGCCCTGTCTCTGGGATTTGGGAAATTTCTATTGTTCTGCCTTTTTTTTTTTTTTGCTCCGGTTTTCTTTTTTTGCTGATCTGCTTAGCTCACGACTTGGTTAATTCTGAGAAGTCTCTGCGGTCCGTCAGTCCTATGAAGCCCAGTTTTACAGAGGCAGGATGGTTTTGCAAAGTTGTTGGGAAGTAAAACTGGCTAATCCTGAATCACATTAGGTTTAAAGCACTTCATCCTGGTTTGCTCTTGTGCTGTGATTGTTGTTGTGTCTTTTCCAACAGGAAGCAGCGCTCAATTGCTCAGAGCACCTCTGAGTAAATCTCTTTGCCCTTGTGATTCTTGTGATGTCATGGTTTGTGTCACATAAAAGGATGTGAATCTTTTATTAAACTTTTTTAAAAGTTTGAAAAAAGATGAACGAATTTACAGGTTAAATGTATACAAAAGGTCATTTTCTGGTTTCCTCTTTCAATTTACAGTTGTTGTTTTTATATAATTAATTATATTTTTCCAGCATAGATGGGAAATTATTAAAAACACAACAAACGGGTAAATGCTTTTGAATCTTCCTCTTATTAAAACAGCTTATTCACACCTATCCTGTTGTCTATTATGTGTGGATTCACATGTCTTTTGCTAAGAGTGCTTTGTGTTTTGCCTGTGTGTGTGCACAAATTGCTGGATCAAATGTGATAGGAGAAGGAGGAAGTATCTGGTTATGCAGACGGAAGGGGGTCAAAAGTGATCGAAGAGGGTCTGATATATTCATTGTTAAAAACGTTTATATTCCGCTGTCTTTTTTTAAGGATGATTGCAGGCTCTTGACCACATACT